TATTTTTTATTTATTATTCATATTATATTAAATTATAAAAAATAAATTTATAAATAAAATATAATTTAAATTGTATTAATATTTTTTATTTTTAAATGCACTTATATTTAATTAAAAAAAAAGATAATGAGATTGATTTATTGGTATTTTTTTATGTTGCTTGTATAATGAAATATAATTTTTTTCATCTCTTATCTCATTTCGTTTGTATATCATGTAACTTTTGTATATCATGTAACTTAAAATTAAAGTTTTTTACTTTTAACAAAAATAAATTACTACTAAATTACTAAATTATTTAAATTATTGATTTTGGTTAATACTTTAATTAATAAAATTAATTAAATCTATCAAAGAATAGCCCATAATTATTTGGGTGAGCATGTTGGAGAGATAAAAGTGGGATATTTTAACTCTTTAAAAATATAAAATCTTCTGTCGTTAAAAGTAAAAAATATTGAATTCGAGTTATATGACATGCGATTGAGATGTGATAAAAAATAAAAGGTAATTATTTTTCATTGAATAATCTATATATATATATAATCTTGATTGTTTCGTGATGATTAAACTTGCAAGCAAAGGGAACACCAGAAGGTAACAAAAAGTGTCAAAACACATAGATCCATGATTTGAATACGGATCATATAGAAAAACACAGTTCGTGATGCTTCAAAATGAATTATTTATTCATTTTCACGCTGGATTGGATCAAAATTAGTGTTCCTTTGTTGAGACTTAATTTTGATTTATTTTGTATGTCTCTGCAGCTAAACACAAATTATTAATATGTATGTACGTAACGAGTTTGTGTATGTTTATATTTAAAGAATAAAATTCTGTTTTGTCAATAAAAAATTATTTATTTTCATTCTGATGTTGTAGGTTAACGACCATCTTTAGTGATGTTCATGGCTGTGATTTCTTGGGGCCTACCGTTCCATTTGTGCGACTAGCAAACACAAAGGAACATCTAAGTTACCAAACATTCTGTCAAATATCAAAATATGTCATATTCCAAGAAATCTCCAATACAAATAAACAATATCTATTGTTTCTAGGAGAATGGTGGACTCATCCCAAAAAAAGATGTACATGGAAATGGATGCAGGGGGGGTAGTGACCATTATCTAATTAGTTAGTAATACCAAGGCTAATTATTAATTAATCAACATCAATCATTACGGTGGATTTTTCTTGTTTCAAATGAAATATATATATATATATTAATGGTCGTTTTCGATCAGGTTAGGGAACAAATCGCCACCTGAATCCATATTGCCATTCTTTAGAAATTTTCTTGACCCATCACCTCATTATCATTTTTTTTT